TTGATTTAGCATAGTGGGATGCTGGAGCAGTGGGCCTGGAGAGGGTGGGTGGGTGGGTGAGCATACTCATAGAGGCAATGTGGAGGGAGGAGCATGTGGATGTGGGATGGGGATTTGGTGGAGGTGTAACTGGAAAGTCGGATATCACTTAGATATAAATGAATGGAATGATTAATAAAATATAAAAAAACAATCAGCTCTAATGTTGTACTTAGAATTTCAGGTTACTGTGGGGATTCCTGAGGTTAATGATTATTACTCAGGGATAGTTAGGGATTCACTTTCATTCCTTCATCAAAAGTTCTTTCACGTGCTTTCTTTATCAAAACATCATTTCACCCATGTCTGCTTCAGGAAAAGATTCTTTAATGTCCTTTTTATATCTATTATGCTTTTCAGTTTAGTACTTTTATGGGCTTTTTGAGTGGTTGAACAAGTGTGCCTCTGACTCTTGTGCCTTCTCTCGGGACTCTTTTACTTTTTGTTGATTTACCTTGTCCAACTTCAGTGTAATAGATTTTGTTTTAGCTAATGGCATTTTATTTTGCTCATTTTATTTTGCTCAGAGCTGCGTGACCGCTGATACAAGAATGGGCACAATTCAGGAATCTTCCCAACATAAGCCCAGAGCTGATTACAGCAGAGCTGAAATCAATGTTGGATATACATAATCTATTTCAGGAGTCCCAGACAGTTATAGCTTCTGTATTCATGTGTCTCTGAGAAAGAAGATGAATGCTATGACTCCTGATGTGATGTACTTGGACTAACAGCAGCCATATATATCTGAAATTCCTCGCCATTTCAACATTATCAGAAATTTGCTCTGACAGCTGCAGGACAACACTGGTGATGGTAAAGTTTTGTCTGTAGGGTCCCAAGACACCCGAACCCAAGTTCTCAGGATAAAGAAGTCTTGATTTCCCCAGAGGAAATGAGGGCATGGGATAAGAGGGAAAGACAGGAGATAAAGGAGGGGGGAGAAGTGGGAGAGAAAATGAGAGAGGGAGGATTTGTCCTGGAGTTGGAGAAAGGAAGTCCATCTCTAGATAGGAAGCAGACAGTTGCAACACATAGGAAAATGGCTGTTTATAAAGGTGATATGGGATACCCTGTGTTAGGATGAAGGGTTTATTTTTAATTGGACATAACATTTAGGAGATTCAAAGGGGCTTTTATCCACTAATTTATTTATTCATTTAATATCCCATTGCTTCACCCTTTCTTTTTGTTCCCCCTAAACACAGTCACTCTCTCACTTATCCTTTTCCTCTGAGATGGTGAGGGCTTCACTGGATATCACTGATCCCTGAACATCAAGTATCTGCAGTGTTAGGATCATCCTTTCCCATTAGGCCAGACAAGCAAGTCCAGTTAGAGGAATGCATTCCATAAATAGGCAACAGCTCTAGGGATTGTGTCCACTTTAGTTGTTGGGAACCCACATGAATACTGGGCTTCTCATCTGCTACATGTGTCCTGGGCTTTGCTTCAGCCCATGTATGGTCTGGTTTTTTGCTCAATATCTGACAGTCCCTGCAATTATGGAGTGATTCTCATGGCGGATCTCTGAGATTCAGACCTTTCAACTGGTTTGTCCTTTTACTTTCTCTAAGCAGGAGTGACATTAATTATGGATTCTTGTAACTGCAGTCCTATTTAATCACTGAGTTCAAAACTATCACAGCTTCTAAGGTTCAGCAGTGTTCTGAGCTTCTGCAGCATTTCAGGTATTTATGTCAACAGTCTCAGTCCTGTGTACCATTATTTTGTAAGTTTTTTACTTTGTTTATTATACAATGTAGGGTGAGTGATTTACACTCTGAAAACAGATTCTCTGTTCTGGGTATAACCTGATGAAGACAGGAAAAACCCTGTTATCTCCTGTCATCTTTTTAGAAATGGGAACTGCAAAAGATGGATCCAACTGTTACCAAGGAGGAAACTGGCTTTAGAGGGAAGTTACAGTTATACTGGCACAACTTAAAATCTCTGATGTATACATAAGTCATTATCCCCTTTTAAACTAGACCCACTTTTCCCTTCAGCTGACCCTCATGAACACTTAAGTTAGGCATAAAGTATATCTAAAGCCAGACTGCAACTTCAGTGTAAGCCATGACAAACGTACCTGCATGGGAGCTCATAACCAGCAGGGGGCACAATGAGGCCAGGAATCCCCATAAAGAGATGATGTAAGTGTGGAGGGGACTCTGTATCCTTTGTGGTTTCCTTTCTTAAGGCAATTAACTGATCTGCTCTTGGAGTAAATGACATGTGATGTCTCCATGCTCAAACAGTGTAAAGATTCTTTGTGAAACACTTCACAGATGTCTGTTTACTTGTTTCTATGTGCTTTTTATAATTTTTGTATAAAATCATACAATGTGTTCTAATAACTGATTTCCTAAACCCACAACTTGTATTAGATCCTTCCTAAGTTCGATCTCAACCAAATACACATTTTTTTTTCTGAGAAATGAAAATGAAAAAACAAAAAGGAAAGAAATTTGAAGGGGGATTAAAAGTGAACAACAACAAAAACAGTACCACAACAAAAAAAAGACACACAGACAAACAGAGACACACACAAACACATACACATATATACATACACACAGATGCACATAAGCATACACATGTACATATATACACATATACACACACTCATACATACATACCAACATACACATACACAGTCACACACACACAGAGAGAGAGAGAGAGAGAGAGAGAGAGAGAGAGAGAGAGAGAGAGACAGAGACAGAGACAGAGACAGAGAGAGACAGAGAGAGAACAGTTAAACCGAATTCTGTCTCCCTGATAGGAAAATTTAAATGAGACAAAGATCTCAAGAAGGTGATATTGTTAAAATTATCTGCAGAAAAAACACTGACTACATTTTTGTTGGCTATCAACTGCTAAGCATGTCTTCCATGATTGATCGTGCTTAATATCTCCTGTGAGATTCCACTGAAGAAAACTAATTTGTTTTTGTATGTGAGTGTCAATTTCAGAACATCTTGGATAAGGGTGAGGGCCTGTGTTCATTTTCCTCTCTCAATGTGGGAATTTAATGTGGGTTGACTTGGTTCAGGCTCTGTACCTACAGCCCCAGTCTCCGTGAATTCATATGTGCATCAGTCCAATTGTGTTTGGAAGACACTCATTCCTTGGGGTCATGAAACATCTTGGTTCTTATAATCTGCTCAATTTTAAGAGATATTTTATTCTCTAATTTTATATCTATTTCATTATGTCATCTTTGTAGAATCCTCACACCTTAGTGGCCTAATCCATGTCTCTAGGCTTCTACAATTAAATACAACAAACAATGTAACCAAGTCTTGCAACATAAATATATAAGAACATGAAGCACTTGCCTTAAGGACATGGATGACCATTCAGTATATTTTCTCCACTTCCACGCATACACTTATAGATTACATATTTCATGTTTTACCACTGAGTTATATTTCTTTTTCTATATGCAGAATTTTGTAAGTTTTTTATTTATGATTTCTTGGAAATCTGGGACGATTCCTTCCTGTATATGCTGTGAATAGAGCATGAATACTGTGCTGTGAATAAACATGGGTGTGCAAGTTTCTCTATAATAAGATGTATAGTCATTTGAGTACATGTTTGGGAGGGTTATTGCTGAATACAACGTAATTTAAGATCAGTTTTGGTGAGTTTCCACTGGGGAAAAAAAAAGAATTTTCATAGGAAAGTCTTCATCCTGCTTAAGTGTGGTTAAATCCCATGATTAGAGATGATTCAGGCTCTAGTAGACCTCAGTTATATTGATAAAGGTCATTTTGTCCAACTGCCTTATAAGTAGTTATGTTTATAGCAAGTAGACTGAGCCTCGATCACAGAGGTTCCCATGTGTTGTGTGTGAAGACTGATGAAGCACATTCATCAGTGATCAATTTACTGAGAATGATTGACAGAGTAATCAGTCACAGATGAGTGGATGATAACAAGCTCTCACCCCAAAATCAAAGACCATTATAAAACAGGGAAAAGAAAGGATGTAAGACACAGAGAATGTGGTTGAATGACATAAAATTCTATCTCTAGGGTTTTCTCTGTTATTATTGCACATATGAACTCTCAGTAGCTATATTTACCAGTATAACAAACACACAAACCAAACCAGTAAAAAATTACAACATTGGAGACCTCAAAATGGCTTAGCAGGTAAAGATGTCTGTCTGCTGGTAAGTTTAGCAATATTAGGTCAGTCTGTTGGAACTGAATTATGTAAGTCATCCTCTGAGATTAATATATGAACTTTTCTGCATATGTACCCTTTTCTCACCAAAAAGTAATATGACATATTAAAAAACATTACAACATGGATGTGGAGGAGCCCTTGAATGCCAACTTCAAGCAGAAAGACTTTAACATTTGATGAGTGATGGGCAAAATATGTTCACTTTTTGAGGGGAATATTTCAGGAGACTCATTATTTATTAGTGATGACTCTATGTATATCTAGACAAGACATTACTTTTAGTCATTGTAGTGAGTTTTGAAGTATAGAAGATATTGAAAAGGCAAACATTAAGTTCATATATCTGAAAGTAAATAGAAAATTTTCAAAAATTTTTGGAATTTTCCATCGTTTTAATCATCATCATAACAACAATCTGATCATAGGACAATCTGATGACATTGTGTCAAAGAGGAGCAAAAGACTCAGGACAAAAATCCTTTGAGAGCTTAGTCCCTGAAATTACATCCACAGCATCTGCTCAGAGCTCAGGGAATAGTATATGGAATGCATTTTCTCAGAGAGAATTAAGACTTGGACCTGAGCATCCTGCTGCCTGACCTTTGTGCCTTTTCAGTCCTTCCCCTCCAATTCTTAGCTAGCTGGACTAGGTCCTTATATAAAAAATTGGCTACTCATGAATATGCAAATTACCTGAGTCTATGACAGTAAATACAGGGATGTCCTGAAAACAAAATATGATCAGTGTCCTCTTCCTGAACACTCTAAGTCTAACCATGGGCTGGAGTTGGGTGTTTCTCTTTCTCCTGTCAGTAACTGCAGGTAAGGTGTTCACCAGTTCCAAATCTGAGGTGGAGACAGGATGTAAGGTGACAATAAAATCCACTCTGCCTTTCTTTCCACAGGTGTCCACTCCCAGGTTCTGCTGCAGCAGTCTGGAGCTGAGCTAGTGAAGCCTGGGACTTCAGGGAAGATATCCTGCAAGGCTTCTGGCTATGACTTCACCAGCTACTATATGCACTGGGTGAAGCAGAGTCCTGAACAGGGACTGGAGTGGATTGGATGGATTTATCCTGGAAGTAGTAATATTTACTACAATAATAAATTCAAAGGAAAGGCCACCTTGACTGCAGACAAATCCTCCAACACAGCCTACATGCAGCTCAGCAGCCTGACATCTGAGGACTCTGCGGTCTATTACTGTGCAAGACAGTCACAGTGTTATAACCACATCCTGAGTGTGTCAAAAACCCTTGAGGAGCAGAAAGCTGCCCTGAGCCTGAGGTAACAGAAAGACTAACCTTTAGACTTGCTCAGAAATCGTAATTTTGAATGTCCACTAATTGCCTCCTCCTCACAGACCTATTGTTCCTTTGTCAACTTTGTAAAAGAGTATCTATGAATAAAGTGATGCTGGTTTAGGATAAATCTACAGTTCACCATAAGTTGTCAATCTCTTCACCAGTGACCATATCCATTGACATATTTCTTACTCAACAAAACAATAAAATAGAACAGTGTGATGATGCATAATAAAAATATCACTGGATCCTGAGAGACCAGAACTTTTGAAAATGTGGGGAATAAAGTATAATATGAATTTGACCTATAAATAACAAATCACCAACATCTGTGCAAAAACTCCTTCACTCTCTTAAGCAATAAGTGATCTCAGATGTGTTGTTAAATCTGGCTGTGTTCCAACAGAAGTTCTGGTCTCATAAGATGTGAAAAATGTTTATATGAGAATCAAAAGTAATGAAAATATAATTCCTGTAGGTTGGTGGAAATATTATTAAATCACTTTTCATGAATTTCATTTACTAACAGAAGGTATGTACCTCTTAACTGAGGTAGGTTGTCAGGTTATACATAAGTGTTTGATCCAATAGTTACTTCCTTCCCCGTCTCAGTAATCATCCCTACACTCACTAGCCTTTATAGAACATGGACGTATACTGACACAGCATTAATTCTCATAGTCCAATGAGTACCTCTTGCCCTTCTTTGTTCTATAGAGTATTTTCTACATGTGTCTCTGCATCCGCATGTGTTTCTTGTTCTTTGTTTCTGGTGACTTTCCTTCTGTTTGTATTGTCATATTCCCGTTTGTTTGCTTTTCCTTCATTTCACTTTGTTTTCCTTTTTCATTATGTATAGGTTCTGTTTTTTTTCTAATTAGATAAAGAAACACAATCAAGCTGTGAGAAAATTGGGGAGGTGTTAAGGAGCAGAAGTCAATCTTCAGAATATATTGAAGGAGGAAATGTATTTTAGTTTAATATAGAAAAAACTTTAAAAAATTAATAAAAAATTGTTCTCATAACATGCTTGTTGTATAAATATCCCATGGGCACAAGTGCCCATTTTTTAGGTCTCATTTTCTTTCAAATTGTTCAAAGTATATCATACCCTAGGTCTGAAAAGATATAAGGGTAAAGCATATGTAAAATACATAATTCTAACTTGTAGTGAAATACATTAGTAAAATAGATGGGTTTTAGCCTCTCTCTCTCTCTCTCTCTCTCTCTTTCTCTCTCTGAATTTTTAGACATGAACGTTTCCAATATTTATCTCTAAGTGCACAGAACAGTTTCTACTAGAATATCCTTTATTTCTTGATGATGTCCCTGCAGGTGTCTTTGTGGTAAATGAAGCATGGGAAGAAATGAGAATGTGAACATAGTACAAAAATGACTTTGTCAACCTGAATCAGACAATGAGGAGTCTAAGCCAGGCAGTTTATTATAAGTATATTTCAACACAATTGAAGTTGGAAAAGGGTCTCCAGGCATCAATCAGTTCCATATCATTCCAATACCATTGAACAACAAAGCTTAAGGTTTCTGTATAGACCGTATTTTATGAAGTTGTAACAATGGTGGTGGGTTCTTTTGCTAAAGTTTAGAGCCTTGTGTGCTCTCTGACCAACAACATACAGATCAGGAGGCCTTAAATATCTGTGACACCTTCCCTAAGGATGGCTAAGAGTCTAATCATGGAAGAGTTGAGATAATCATTCTGGGTAATTAGAGTGAGTTCTGTCCCTACAGATAGCAAAAGGATCAAGAGGTTATTAAGAACCTCCACTCTCAGCTTCCTGAATGGTGTGCAGCTGTTTGATTTTATCTCCTTCCTTTAGGAGACATCCCTGTGTGACTAAAATTTTGGCTTCTCTTAGTGCTTCTCTGTGAATAAAAGCTCTTATACCCTCTAGAATCTTTATGTGAAGATCACCCATAATATTGATAAATATTTGTTGCCATGCATCAGTGAAAGAAAAACATCAAAATAAAGTAGTTGTGCATAATCTGAGGGACAGTGCAGAGAGCTGTGTTTCTTCACTCTATGAAGTATTCATTTTTCTTACTTACCCCCTAGAAAATTAAAAACCATCTCCTAGGTTAGTTATCCTTTGTTTGTAGAGACATAAAATCTGAGGTAGATTACTTGTGTTAGTTAATAAAATTTATGTTGTTCTCCTGGAAATCCTACAGAGACATTAATGACAAAATTTGAATGTCCTCTCATTCATCATGAAGACAGGCTACCTTATTGTCGAAAAAACCCATCTATCAGAAAATTAGAACTTTCTTTTAACTCTAGACAAGCAAGTGAAAGAACTGTATGACACAAAATTCAAGTCTTTGAACAAAAAATTAAGAAGATATCAAAATATAGAAATATCTGCCATGCTCCTGGTTTGTTAGGGTAAACATAGTAAAAATGAACACCCTCCCAAAAGCAATCGCCACAGTCAATGTAACACACATCAAAATTTCAATACAGTTCTTTACAGAAACTGACATGATAATACTCAACCTCATATAGAAAATCTTTAAAATGCTGGACAGCTAAAACTGTCCTGTGTAAGAAAGGAACATCTGGAGTTATCAGCATCCCTTATTTGAAAGTGTCCTACAGAGCTATAGTACTAAAAACATCAATGTAATAGAATAAATCAAGAAATATAAATAAACATAATCAAATAAAAATCCTGACACAAATACACATATTTAAGAACACTGAGTTTTTGATAAAGAATTGCACAATAAAAGAACAAAAGCATCAAGAAACCATGCTGGTCTAACCAAATGTTTATATGTAGAACAATGCAAATAGATTCACGTGTGTTCCAATGAACAATACTCAAGACCATCTGGATCACAGACTTCAACATGAATCCGGATATCTTGAGCCTAAAGGAAAGAATATGGGGAAGATCTTAGAATTCAGGGGAATAGTAGATAAAATCTCTAAGAGAATACCAATAGGACAGATACTAAAAACCACAATCAATAAATTGAACTTAATGAAATTAATAATGTTCTGTAAGGCAAAGTACACCATCTATCGGACAAAACAGTAGCTTAGAGCATGGTAAAAGATTCTCCCCAACTCCTCATTTGACTTAAGGATGATATACAAGTTACATACTCAAACATACATCAAGCTAAATGTCAACAAAACAAATAATCCAATGTAAAATGGTTTTGAGATCTAAACAGAATTTTTAACGAAGAATTCACTAATGGCAGAGAAGCACTTAAAGCAATGTTCAAGATCCTTACTCAACAATGAAATTCAAATCAAAATGAGTCTGAGATTTCTTCTTAAAGATATCAGAATGGCTAAGATTAAAACTAGATCTAAAACGACAGCGAGTGCTGGTGACAATATGCTCAAAGTTGGTGGTATGAGTGCATACTTTTATAGCCTGTCTGGAGCACACATTTATATTAAAATTACCATTACAAGTAAGTATTCTTTGTTAATTAATAATACACATACATATTTTATTCATAACCTATGAACTTTATTGAAACATCAATTGTATATTCATATAAAGAACGCTATAAAGTTTCAAACATGCAGTGTCAGTCTCTTATTACTGTTACCATCAACAGCATATGTAAATGTATCTGTAAATTCTACCACTGATGGAAGGGTTTCTTTGGCTGGAAAATCTGATTTTGATTTGTGAGCACAGTTCTTGATGTTCCATTCACAGGGCTGAGCCTATGCACCTCTTCTGGGCAAATGTTGGTAACTTGGTTCCAAGGGGATCTCCAGTTCATGTGAAGTCCTCAGTTCAGGTAATGAAGAGGAGAAGCTGAACATTTTGTATTGTCTGGTCTGCATTTCATTCTTTTTTTAAATCATTCTTTTCCTGTACATAATAAAAGTTTTTTCTTTATTATTGGATATTTTATTTACATGTCATATATGATACCTTTACCCCATTTCTCCCCTCCTCATGCCCAGGAACCCCCTATCCTATCCCCTCTCTTCCTGCTTCTATGATGATGTGCTCCCACCTACCCACCACTCCCACCGCCCCATCTTCTAATTACCCCACATTTGACATCCAGCTGTCGTGGGACCAAGGATCTCCTCTCCTGCCTATGGTCAACAGGGCCATCTTCCCTTACATATACCACTTGAGCTGTGGCCCTACCCTATGTACTCCCAGGCTGGTGGTTTAGACTCTGGGAGCTCTGGTTGGTATTGTTGCTTTCCCCATGGGGATGCAAACCCTTTCAACTCCTACAGTCTTCACTCTAACTCCTCCATTGGGAACCCCTTGATCAGTTCAATGGTTAGCTATGAGCATCTGCCTCTGAATATGTCAGACTCTTTCAGACATCTAAAGAGACAGCTATATGGGTCTCCTGTCAGCATGCACTTTCTGGTATCCACATCAGTGTCTAACTTTGGTGACTGCACATGGGATGGATACCCAGGTGGTATGGTCACCAGCCTGCCCCTACTTTAGTTTCTGTCACACACTCTGTCTCCATATTTGCTCCCTTGAGTATTTTGTTACTGCTTCTAAGAATGACCGAAGCCCACACACTTGGTCTTCTTTTTCATGAGCTTCATGTGGTCTGTGAGTTGACTCTTGGGTATTTCAAGCTTCTGGGCTAATATCCAATTATCAGTGAGTGAATACCATGTGTGTTCTTTTGTGATTGGGTTACCTCACTCAGGAGGATATTTTCTAGTTCCATTCATTTACCTAAGAATTTCTTGAATTCATTGTTTTTAATAGCTGAGTAATACTCCATTGTGTAAATCTACCACATTTTCTGTATCTATTCCTCTGTTGAAGGACATCTGGGTTCTTTCCAGCTCCTGTCTATTATAAATAAGTCTGCTATGAACATAGTGGAGCATATGTCCTTGTTATATGTTGGATTATCTTCTGGGTATATGCCCAGGAGTGGTATCACTGGATCCTCAGGTAATGCTATGTCCAATTTTCTGAGGAACCTCCAGACTGATTTCCAGAGTGGTTGCACCAGCTTGCAATCCAACCAACAATGGAAGAGAGTTCCTCATTCTCCACATTCTTGCCAGAATTTCTTATCACCTAAGTTTTTGAACTTAGCCATTCTGAATGGTGTGAGCTAGAATCTCAGTGTTGTTTTGATTTGCTTTTCCCTGATGACTAAGGGTGTTGAACATTTCTTTAGGTGCTTCTCAGTCATTGGAGTTTCCTCAGTTGAGCATTCTTTGTTAAGCTCTGTACCCTACTTTTAAATACGGTTATTTGGTTGTCTGGAGTCTAATTTCTTGAGTTCTTTGTATATATTGGATATTAGCCCTCTATTTGATGTAGGATTGGTAAAGATCTTTTTCCAATCTGTTGGTTGCCATTTTGTCCTATTGACAGTGTCCTTTATCTTACAGAAACTTTGCAATTTCATGAGGTCCCATTTGCCAATTCTTGCTCTTAGAGCATAAGCCATTGGTGTTCTGTTCAGAAACTTTTCCCCTGTGCCTAGGTATTCGAGGGTCTTCCCCACCTTCTCTTCTATTAGTTTCACTGTATCACAGTCTTGCAACCACATCATGAGTGTGTCATAAATATCTTGTAACACAAAGTCTTAACCTCCACGAATGCTCTTCCTCCTCCAGGGCCTCAAGAAGAACCAACATGAAAGAAGTACCCACCGCTGAGATGGCCCCAGGCACTTAGAGAAGTATTCTTATATATTATCAACTCTCACAGTTGTTTGTATTCCCAGTGCCCATCTTTGTCCTATAGAATATTTGTGAACTCTTGTGTCTATATGTCGATATGTGGAGGTAAACCATGAGAACAGATGAGACTGAGAACTTGGTGCACATTGACTTTGCCAACTTGTATCAGATTTCAGGGAGTCTATGATAAAATGTAGTTTATTGTAGGTATACTTAAACACAATGGAATTAGGAAAAGGGGCTACAGGCAACAATAATTTCCATAGTCATTCCAATTTCAGTTGTACAATGAGGTTTAAGGTATGACTATATAGAAAGTGTTTTATAAGTCTAGACTAGGCAGTCCTCTGCTACATATGTGCCATGAGTTTCCTTCTAGTCCATATATGCTCTTTTGTTGGTGGCTCAGTTTCTGAGAATTCTACAGTTCTTGTGTATTTCTAATTGCAGATCTTTCAGATTTAGATATTTTACCTGGTTTGTCATTTTCATTTTTTTCAGCAGAGTTTTTTTCTAATTATCCTTTCTTGTTAATGCAAGTGCATTTCAGCACTAAATTCTAAATTCATTCAACTTCTAAGAGTCAACCAGGTCCTGACTCATTCAATATTTTAGATATTTATTACAACCATCTCACTACTGTGTACAATTATTGCATAAGTCTTTTTACTTTGTCTACTATACAATGTAGGGTCAGCAATTTATCATTAGAACACAGGTGCTCTGCCACAGATGTTGCCTGAAGAACACAGAAAAGAGCCTGTTGTCTCCTGTCACTACCTTTTTAGAATTAGGAACTGGATCCAAATGAACCAAAGAGGAACCTGGCTTTGAAAAGGATATTATAGTAATATTGGCACAACTTAAACTCAACAATGCAAAAATCATTATCCCTAGGTACACTAGAGCCATTTCTCCCTTCGACTGAACTCGTGAATACTGTAGTTATAGGGATAAGTAATTACTTTTTTCTTTCTTTCTTTTTTAATTAATCATTTTATTCATTTGCACTTCAAATATTATCTCCCTTCCAAGATTCTTCTCCCCAACCCTGTCCATCCCATCCCCCCTCCCCTGTCATCTTTGTCTATATGAAGGTGCCCTTCTACCCACTCACCCACTCCTGCTTCATTGTTCTTGCATCCCCCTACTCTGGGGCATCAAGTTCCACAGGACCAATGGCCTGCCTCCCACTGATGCTGGGTAAGGCTATACATGTGTAACTGGAGCTATGGATCCCTCCATGTATACTCTTTGGTTGGTGGTTTAGTCCCTGTGAGCTCTGAGTGATTTGGTTAGTACATATTGTTTTTCCTATGGTATTACAATCCCCTTTAGCTCCTTCTGTTCTAACCTTAGCTCTTCCATTGGTGTTTCTGGGCTCTATCTGATCATTAGCCTTGAGTGTCTGCATCTGTATCAGTCAGGATCTGGAAGATCCTCTTAGAGGACAGCGATATCAGGTTCCTGTCTGCAAACAATTCTTGGCATCAGCAATAGTGTTGGGGTTTGGTGTCTGCAGATGGGATGGATCCTGAGGTGGAGCTGTCTCTGGATGACCTTTCCTTCAGTCTCTGTTCCATTTTTTGTCTCTGTCTTTCCTTTTGACAGGAACAACTCTGGGTTAAAAATTTTGAGATGGGTGGGTGGTCCCACCCTCAACTGGGTGACATACCTATCTACTAAAACCAGACTGTACACCTTCAGTGTAAGTCATGATAACCCTAAATGCATGGGAGCTCATGACCAGCAGGGGGAGGAATAAGGCCAGAAATCGACATAGAGAGTAGAGGAGGGTTTAGAGGGTACTAGGTGTCCTTTGTGGTTTCCTTTCTTAACTGGAATAACTGATCTGCCCTGATGTAATTGACATGTGATATCTCTATGCTCAAACCCCCAAAAGATTCTTTGTTAAACACTTCACAGTGTATGTTTACTTGTTCATATTTGCTTTATATAATGTTGGAAAAATTCATACAATTTATTCTAATAAGTCATTTCCTCATCCTCAACCTATTGCAGATTCTTCCTCCCTAACAACTAACTCAACTACACACCTTTTCTTTCTTTCTGAAAAAACAAAAATGTAAGAAAATTAAAAAGGGATTAAAAGCAAACAAAAATTAAACATAATTTTCTAAAGATAACTCTCTCATGCACGCACACATGCACGTATACACACACACATACACACATACACACACACACACAGAGAAAGAGAGAGAGAGAGAGAGAGAGAGAGAGAGAGAGAGAGAAACCAGTAAGACCACAACTACTCTGTAACAATGATATATAGGCAAAACATGAGGCAAACAGATTTGAAGAAGGTGATATGAGAAAAAATGTCTGGAAAAATACCATTGATTTTATTTTCATGTTGGCTACCAACTGCTTAGCATATCTTCTATAATTAATTATGTTTACCATCCCCTATGAACTCCACTGGTGAAAACTAATTTTTCCTTTGAATGTGAGTGGCAGCTGGCTAACTTCTTGGTTAGTAGTTGTTGACTATGTCCATTTCAATCTCCCAATTTGGATATTATGTGGGTACACTTGGTTCAGGCACTGTGCCTGCAGCCACCCTCTCTGAGTTCATAAGTGCATCAGTCCTATTGTATCTGGAAGACACTCATTCATTGGAGTCATCCAACATCTCTGGCTCTTATCATCTTCTCAATCTTAAAACCCTTTCTCATTCTTTTTTTCCTCTATTTTCCTATATCATGATTGTAAATTCATCATACTCTATTGTTCCAATTCTAGTATGTCTGCTTCTACAGTTCAATATACTAAACAAAATATTCAAATCCTGGAACACATATGAGTGAGAACATGAATCACTTGTTTTATGGACATGGGTGATCTATTCAGTATATTTTTGGCAGTTCCATGCAGACACTTTTAGATTATATAATTCATATTTTACCACTGAGTAGTATTCAATATTCTATATATTCCACTTTGTCATGTTTTATTTATGCTTTTTTTGAAACTTGGGATGATTTATTCCTCTATATGCTGTGAATAGACCCTGAATAACATGTTGTGAATAAACGTGGGTGTGCAAGTGTGTCTATAATAGGTATAGAGTCATTTGAGTACTTGT